AATTTCCCCTTTTCAAAGAATGGAAGAAGCACCCAGGTAAGGTGTGCAGTGACTCCTGGCAGAACCTGTGCCGGGCCCACAGCAGCCACTGCCTGGGCCCCTCCTGGGGATCGGCCCACCCACCTCCAGCAGCCCAGCCTCTCCAGGGCCCCCACATCCAGTCACCCGTCCAGAGCCGATGGAATCAGCTTTCATCTCGGCCTCCGGCCAGAGGGATCATAATCTCCTGCCTTTGTCTGGAGTCTCCGAGTCCTGCCAGACAGAGGCATGGAAGCAACAAGGCATCCGGGCTCCTGGCCCCAGGGAGGGCTGCCAGGAAGCAGAGGAACTGTGGACTGGGGTGGCCGGGGTAGAAGCTGAGCAAGGGTGCTAGTTCTGGGCCTGGGAACATTTTAACATCTTTCGAGGGCTCGTGGTAGAGCTCAAGGGGGCCAGGAAAGAGGCAGCCGGACTCCGGGCTGCTGCCACGGGCACGAGGGCAGCCTTCCCCACACTTTCCCAAAGAGGTGGAGACATGGGCCTCCCAGTAGGGCAAGTAGTTGGCAGATCTGTTCTGTACAATCAGCCTGCAGGTGGCATCTCACAAGGCTGGAGAACAAAGCAGGCACACATGCCAAGTCTGGCCCAGAGTGTGTGCGGAGCCACAAGCCCGAAACCACACAGTAGGAGCCTAGCATCCTGCCCTGTGAGAGACGGCAGAAAGACGAGAACATCTGGCGCAGTGCTAAACATAATCCTGACAAGCATGAAAATAACATCCAGAAAGTGCCATCGGCCACCCTCTTCCACATGCTGCATGGAGACAGCCAGGGCGCACAGAGAACCGTGCAGGCTCACAGTCACAGCTGAGAGCAACCTGAGGGGGCGGGCCTCGCGGCCACTTCAGAACATTCAGGAAAACACGGAACTGGGGCAGGTGCTGCGACACGTTGGGTTAAACGGCCAGCTGTGATGCTGCCATCCTACACCAGAGTCCTGGCTGCTCTGCTTCGCATCCAGCTCCCTGCTAACGCCCCTGGGAGAGCAGCAGATGAGCCACGTGCTCTGGTCCTTGCAAGCCTGTGGGAGACGCAGATGGAGAGCTAGACCTGGTCCAGCCCTGGCCATTACAACCTTTTTGGGAGTGAATCCCAGATGGAAGATGTGTGTGTGTGTGTGTGTGTGTGTGTGTGTGTATGTGTGTTATTCTTCCAATAATTAAATGTTTAGGGAAATTGGGGTTTTTTTTAAGATGAAATTAAATATGCCTATTTCAGTGCAGATTAAAATGAAATTCATCACAGGCGTAACATGCATTCTTTGGGGCTGATCAGTTGGCCATCCCTCGGCCCACAGGTATTGATGATCCCTGTACGTGCTCCACTTCCCACCCAGCTTTCTGCTCGTGGTCTTGGAAAGCAGGGGAACACAGCCTAAAGGCTTGGGACTCTGCACCCACGTGGCAAAGTTCCTGGCTGCTGGCTTCAGTTCAGCTCACTTCTGGCCATTACAGACATCTGGGAAGTGAACCAGCAGATGAAAGATCTTTCTGTTTCTCTCCTTCTCTATATACATCTGTTGTTCCCTTTTTTTATAGATTTACTTTATTTTTATTGAAAATTCAGAGATACAGAGATGAGGAGACACAGAGAAAGATCTTCTATCCAGGCATGCAACAAATGAGGTCCATCTGGACACATTTGGTTGGAAATGCTGTGAAGCAGAGGAGAGGGGACAAGTTAGACCCCAGATGCACAGCAGGATCCCCTTCCTGGGCTGCCCAGGAGGCTGCAGGCAGGGGTAACCCCCAAAGACCCATGCCACTTCTAGGGGTGTCTAAAGACGTTGGTGGAAAATGAGTACCACGAAAAAAAAAAAGGCTGCACAGATATCACAAATGTGGAAGACCAGTACCCTTCCATTTCCCACTCTGAAATACTCTCGCGTGACTCTACCAGGAGCATGCACAGACAAGTCTAACTGGAGGGAAGGCCAGTGAGTTCTCGTGTGGGACACAAGCAGGTACTGCCCCATCACAGTCCGGGGCACAGCTTTCCACAACCCTCACGGGTGACCTGAGTTCCGCTTGCCCAGAGACCCGAGGGCCCCAAAGGGGGAATGGGTTAAGCAGATCTGAGTGTCAGCCCTACGGGGGAAAGGGTTAAGCAGGGCGGCGCTGCTGTGGGGGCGGGCTCCGCGATCGGCAGCGCTGGGCTCTGTTAGCCACGTCTGAGCATCTCGGAGGATGCGGTGCAGCGGGAGGCTGTGGGGACGAGCGCAAGGTGATCGCGGGGGCTGCGGGCGCGGTGCCCAGGTGAGGAGCTGGCCCGGGGAGGGGGCGATGGTGGGGGTCGGGCGGCGGGCGGCCTCCCCTGCCCCGCGCAGCCTCCACGCGCGGGCGGCAGGGCCTTCACACCGCCCACCCCCATCAGGACACTGCGGGAAGGCGCAGAGCCAGAGGAGAGGTAACCCGAGCTGGAGCAGCTCCGGGAGCCTGCCCTGTCGCGGTGGCCCGCTCCCTGTCCTGGGCCCACAGGGCACAAGGAGCCCCTACCACCCCCAGACTTCTGCAGTGGGACCCAAGCACCTGGCTGCAGGGTGCCCACGTCTCCTGGAGGCGGGTGACAAGCAGATGGCACGGTTGTCTCGGGCTCCTCCTCTGCAGAGTGTTCATGTGAAATGTGGGCTTCACAGCCCCTCCAGTGTCCACTCAGCCGGCAGTGTGACCTTGGCCAGTGCTCAGCGTCTCTGAACCTGAGAAATGGGTGTACACACCTGCTCATCCTGGAAAGGTTGTGTGACATGCAGCTAAGCTTAGCACAGCTTGGAGCTCAATACCAGGTCACTCTGGCTAGCCAGTGCCTGGGTTAGGGGCGCTCCTTTTCACCCCACCGTCCACCCTCTCCTGAGGGGTTCAGCCCTAACCTGGGCCAGAAGCCCAGTCTGGAGCTTTGAGAATGTCTGAGAACTGAACTAACAGGCTTAAAGAACAGAGGCTGAACTAGAGATGGGGGGTGTCTGTGGGGTCCTAACCCCCTGGGAATTGCACACTCCCTTTGGGAAACTCTGGCACATTCTTGGGGAAGTGCCTGTGTACTAGCAGGGGCTGGGGCTGAAGCCAGGCAGCTCCAGGGTCAGCAGCTAAATGGGGAGGGGCCTGGGGATGCCCCGGATTTCAGCTGTCACTATCCCTGTCATAGCCGGGGAATTGCAGGAACATCTGCCTGGGGCCAGGTGCATACTGGGTGGGGGACAGGCCCCAGGCCAGCGGGGGAGGGAGGGATGACTACACAGTGTGCCCAGGGTCAGCAACGCCGCAAGGCTTCAGGAAGGGGATGTGACAGGCATCTCACTGGGGCCTGTGCACCTGCTTCTCTGCCCTCTCTGCCACCGACCCAGTGTGCTGCCCCATGCTTCGCAGAGCCGATGGCATCCAGGCTGGGGGTGGGGTGGAGTATCACAGGGGCCTCCCACAACCCCGCTCCCACCCTCGATTTCATCTCCTTCTGCTACTTTCTCCCCTCATCTGCTCTGCCCTGGCCACGCCAGCGTAATGTCCTTGTTTTGTTGTTGTTAAGATGTGTTTATTTGAAAAGCAGAATTACACAGAGACAGAGTACTTCCCTCTTTCAGTTTATTCTCCGAGTGGCCTATGGCTGGGACTGGGCCAGGGTGAAGCCAGGAGCCGAAGCTCCACCTGCATGTCCCACATGAGGATAGGAGCCCGAGCAGTTGGGCCGTCCTCCACCGCTTTCCCAGACGCATTGATTGGAAGTGCAGCAGCCAGGACTCACTGGACTCACACGCCATGCTCGTGTTGGAGGGGCGGCCCTGATGCTATTTCTTAAACTTGTCTGACTGGTGCCTGCCTCAGGCCCTTTGAACTTGCTGTTTTTTTACCTCGGAGCTTTCTGGCACCCCTGCAGCTCTGTTCTGTTATCGACCACCTGTCTTACTGACAGCCTGAGTACATTAAGGGCAGCCCTGTCCATCCTATTTGCTGCTTTATGCCCAGGGCCAGCTGTATGCAGTCTGTTCCAGTGATGCTGAGACAGATCAAGGGTAGGGGATGAAAGTAAGCCATCCCTGGGGAGGGGGCTGGCCTGAGAGGTTCTGTGACTTTCGCATTCCTGGCGTCCCTTAAGAACCCTTGCTGTTATCCCATTGTACTGATGAAAACATTGAGACGCAGATTGCAAATGTGATTCACTGGGGAAATGGCAAAGCCAGGTGGATGTTTCTTGTCACCTCTCCTATCTGAGCTGGGCCTTTAAAAACAGGATTTTAGGGGCTGGCATTGTGGCCCAGCAGGCTTATCCAACATTGGAGTACCACAAGTCCTGGTGTTCCCCCTCTGATCCAGCTCTCTGCTACTGTGCCTGGGAAAGCAGCAGAAGATGGCCCAAGTGCTGGTGGCACCTGCCACCCACCTGGGCAGCCTGAACACATTTCCTAGCTTTAGTCCGACCCAGCCCTCGTTTTTTGTGGGTATTTGGGGAGTGAAGCAGCAGATAGAAGATCTCTGTCTCTCCCTCTCCCTGCTGCTCTGCCTTTCAAATGAATAAATCTTAGAAACAAGATAACAAAAATTGATTTGGGCAAGTAGAGGAGGAGGGAGAGGGCATCCCAATCCCAACAGGGAGCACTGGGGGTGCAGGCACAGGGACCAGGGCAGCCCAGAAGGTGCTTGGCAACACCAGGATTGTAGGCACCAGGACCAGGGCAGTCCAACAGGCAGTGGGGGAGATGAGCAGCCTGAGGAGGCCGTAGTCTTGGAAGTCCAGCAGGGGGAGCTTGTGTTCAGTCCTGGGGCCCACAGGAAGCCACAGCACGTTATGGGATGGGATGGGGTCAGTTGCTAAGCCAGAACAGTTTCCCAAGCAGGAATGAGGTTGTGACCTCGTGTTCGTCTTCCTCCTGGGAGACCACCAATCTCACATGTCGCCCCCCCTCCTTCCTATCAGGTTCATCCAGCAAAGACTGGAAGCTGAGGGCTGTGGGCCCGGGAGGTGAGGTCAACCATGGTCCCCAGTGTGTGGGGCTGCATCTGTGACCTCCTGTTACTGCTGGCTCTGGGGGCCAGCCCTGCCATGGGCCGCAACCTTCCTAGGCCACTGGAAGACTCAGAACTCCACCTGACTCCAGAAGCCCACTCCAAGGGCCCTGATGTCTTCTGGGGGAGCCCCTGGGGTCCCACACTCCCCCAGGCTCCTGCTGCAGACTCTCCCCCTGGGCCAGCCCTGCACAGGCCCAGAGCAGCCCCTGGAGCTGCAAGAGAACAACTTCCGGGACCTGACAACTTACAGGTGGCGTGGGGGCCGGGTTTCCAGGGCTGGATGGGACCTCCCAGTGCATGGGAGCCTCTGGAGCAAGAAACGCTGGCCCCGGCCCCAATGGGAGCTCTATCGCCACCCTTCTCCCCCACAATACCCCAGCCTCCCCCCAGGGCAGCCACGATTCCTCCCTCTCCGTGGGAGCCTGGCAGCCAAGCTCCACGGCCTCCGCCTGTGGATGCCGAGGCTAGAGACCCTGCTCAAACCCTTGGGGCCCCCTCGGGCACTGCCAGGGGGCCAGTACTGGGAGACCAAGGTGGGCAAGAGGAGGACTTGCAGGAACTTGCTCAAGGCCCCCTCACCAGCCAGCAGCATCCTGCAGCCCCGGATACTGGTCCAGCATCCACAGTGGAGTTAGGATCCCCCCCTCGGGAGCCTGGGATCCAGGTGGACTTGGCACCGGCCAGAAGTCTCCCTCCTGCTGAGCAGCTGCCAGCTGAAACCCCAAAAGAGGCAGGAGCTGGAGAAACCAGGCCGGTGAGCTCCCCAGGCCCCCCACCTGATGCCACGGCTTCCTCGGGACCCCCGCCCACAGGTCCTGCAGCTTCTGCAGCCCCCAGTGGGCAGCCCAAGCCAGGTGAGTGTCACAGAGAGTCAGGGCTGAGCAGGGCCAGGAAGTGGGCCATGGTCTAGGCTCATGGGGTGTACAGTTCCCTGTGAGCTCCAGGCCCTGCGTGCTGGTGACTGGGAAGGAACTGGGTTTGGGGGAACGTGTGGAAGGGCAGACAAGGAGATGACCATTTTGTCATTACAGCGATAGCAGCGATGAATGGGGCGGACCCAATTTCCCCGCAGCGGGTGAGAGGTGCGGTAGAAGCTCCAGGCACCCCCAAGTCCCTCATCCCTGGCCTCGTGGACCCTGGCCCAGCCACAAATGCAACAGAGAGTCCAGCCACGGCCCTGCAGCCAGGTGAGAGCACAATGAAAAAGCCTGTGTGAAGCCCAGGCGGGGATGGGGAGAGATGAGGGGACGCAGCGGGGCGGGGGGAGGTCGGAGAGGGGACAGGGGACAAACAGCTGCGCAAGGGAAGCGGCCCCCACTCCTCCCGAACACAGCCAGGGACGATAAACCAACACCCGTGAGGTCTGGATCTCCACCTGATGCCAACCTGTATGGAGAACCGTTAGAAAGAAAGGGCAGCTCAGCTGCATTCAGGACTCCCTGAGCACTGGACGTCAAGCGCTAGGTTCTACATGCCCAGTGGCCATGAATCTGTTGCCTTCGTTTTACAAACAGGCTTGGGAAAGTTAACTACACAACCGACCACGCTAGAGAATAATGCAAAAAAATCAAAAAGCACTTTACCAAAGCCATTTTCACATCAAAGGGCATTTTTCACATTACTATTGCAGATGAGTCTGAAGAGTGGCCGAGGCGCCCCCAAAGTCACCCCCCTGCACCCCCAGTCCAAGCCCCATCAACGTCCCGCCGGGGTCTCATCCGAGTCACCACCCAGCGAGCCCTGGGCCAGCCTCCCCCTCCAGAGCCCTCTGACAGCTCCACAGCCTCTGTGCCTGCCTCCAGCCCCCCAGCCAATGCCACCGCGCCACCCCTGCGCTGGGGGCCCCTGCGGCGCGTACTGAGCTTCTCCTGGGAGCTGCACGTCTATGGGGTCGGGGTGCTCTTCCTGCTGCCCGCCCTGCTGGCACTGGCTACGCTAGCAGCCGCCCCGACAGGGCCTCGGCTGGCACTGGCTGCAGCGGTGCTGGTGCTGGTGGCTTCGGGGCTGCGGTCAGCTTACATGCTCACTGACCCCTACGGCTCGCAGGCACGGCTAGGTGCACGCGCCGGCCTCGTACTCTACAACCTGCCCTTCCCTTTGCTGCTCACAGCGCTAGCGGCCCTCACCTTGCTTGGCCTGGGTGCGGGGCTGCCGCCACTGCTGCAGAGGCCGCTGCTGCTGGGGGCCTTGGCACTGGTGCACGGTGCGGGCTTGCTGACCACGGACCTGCTGTCCTCGCAGCCTGCGCTCAACCTCCTGGTGCAGGGCCTGTCCTGTGCCTGGGGTGCGTCGGTAGCTCTGGGCACGCTCTGCCTGTGCCGGCGTCGCCTGCTGGATGGGCCGCGCGTCTGGGATACCAGCCCGGGCCCACGGCTGTTGGCCGTGGCCGGTTCGCTGGGGCTGCTGGCCAGCGGCCTGCAGCTGGCAGCCGCACTCTGGCTGTACCCAGGCCCGGGCCGCGTAGGCCGTTTCTCGTGGGCCTGGTGGGGCGTCCACTTCTGGCTGCGCCTGCTGGAGCTAACATGGGCATTCGCCATGGCACTAGCTGCAGTGGCCGCCGCGCGACCCCGGCCGCCCACAGAGCATGCCTGCTGGGCCAAGCTGCTGCGGCTGGCGTGCCCCGCGCCGGTGGGCAAGAGTGAGGTGCCAGAGCGACCCAATAACTGCTACGCGGGGCCCAGCGGCGTGGGTGCCACAGGCGGCCTGGACATCAGCAAGAGTCTCATTCGCAACCCGGCCGAGGCCGGCCCGTCCGCCACGCCCAGCTCTGGGGCCTGGGGGTCAGCCGCGTCGCTGGGTCGCGGTCCCCACGCGGGACTGTCCCGCGGCAGCATGGGGCCGGCGCCGTCGCTGAGCGAGCTGGACCTGCGACCGCCGTCGCCCATCAACCTGAGCCGCAGCATCGACGCGGCGCTCTTCCGCGAGCACCTGGTGCGAGACAGCGTGTTCCGGCACTGCGGCCTGCGCGGCCTGGTGTCCCCGCGGCCTCGCCGGGGCAGCCAGCCGGACGCCGCCGAGCTGGACGGCGCAGGCGCCTCGCTGCTCCGCGGCCGCTGCCGGTCACTGAGCGACGTGCGCGTGCGCGGGCCCCTCCCGCCGCACGTGGCCGACGTGCCCCACGGGGCGGCCGCGGGGGCCTCGGGCAGCTCCCTGGACAGCTTCTCCAAGGGCTCGCTCAAGATCAGCTGGAACCCGTGGCGCCACGGGCTGTCGTCGGTGGACAGTCTGCCCCTGGACGAGTTGCCCAGCACGGTGCAGCTGCTGCCTGCGCCCACACCGGCCCCGGCCCCGGCCCCAGCTCCGACCCCAGCCCCTGCCCGGCCTGGGGAGGCCCCGCCGCGTTGCAGGCCTGGAGACTCTCGCAGCGCCTCCAGCGACACCATTGAGTTGTGAGCGGCCCTCGCTGACCACCAGCCGAAGTGCGGGGCCCGCAGCTGATGGCCAACCCCCTACTGACTGCGATACCTGGACGTCAACTTGCCCCTTACACGTTTTGCGTTTAAATCTATTTTTCTCAGCGGGTATTTTGCACACAAAGGCCGTGACTCACGCGGAACACAGGGTGGACGTGGGTGGGTTTGGGCATGGGGGACCCGGAATCCCCGGTGCGTGGAGAGACGAGCCTTGGGCTTGCCCAGACTGCCTGTCCTCTTTGTGCCAAAGAAATAAAACCCTTAGGACTCTGCTTCTGCCTCCCTCTGGCCACACCAGGATCCTGCACCCCACAGCCTTCAGTATCCCCAAGTGCCTGGGCAGGGCCGCGGCCTGGAGAGGAGCCTGCTGGACCTGGTGGTGCCAGCTCACATGGCCATGCTGAACCGCCCTCAAGTCTCGCCAAGTAGCAAAGGGGTCAGCATCCGGCTGCTACCTCTAATCCCCACGTCTCCTCTTCCCCGCCCCCACAGCCCCTGGGGTATCTGAGAACCCTCCCCACCCCCGTGGGGCCCAGGGAGCCAGGCCAAAACTTGACCATTTTTCAAGGTCTTTATTTCCTGAGATGAATAAATAAGTAAATAAGCCAATGGCTGGGGGGGGGGGCAGGGAGTGAACACAGAAGGCGGCAGATGGCATGGGGGCGCAAGGCCCCACCCCAGGGCGAGCCCCCCTCTGGGCGGGGCCCAAGCTCACCACTGGCTGACTAAGCAGTCGCTTTCTCCACATTCCTATGTCGAGGCCTGCCCACTCCTCCTGGGGGGGAGAGCATGCACCCACCATCAGAGCTATTTCCCGGGACCTCACCTGTCCCCGGGGAACCTTGCGCTGCTCTGCAGGGCTAGAAGGGGGTGCCTAACCCCCAAGCTGCCCTGAGTGTCCCATGGCAGAGGCCCACCCTCTGGGATGCAGGACACCCTGCAGGGAGCAGGGCGATGTGGGGCGGGGGCTTATCTGCCCTTGATGAAGCCCTCGAGCACACGGTCACTGCGCTCAGACAGCCAGTAGCCGGTCATGGCTGCCACGGCCCCAATAAAGATGGCCGTGAACACCAGGTCGCCCTTGGCAGCCAGCGTGGCCAGGGCACAGATGATCACCCCAAAGAACATCTGCTGCAGCACGCCCAGCTCGTCCTCCGTCATGTCCGAGAAGAAGCCGGCCGACTCTGCGGGGGACACGCAGCCTCACGTCACCCATGGCCGCCACCTCTGCCCACAACCCACCAGGCACCGAAAGCTGAGCCAGGGGAGAGGAGGAGGGGTCTGCTGATGACCAGGAATGTGAGCCTGAGCAGGACTCGGGGAACAGGCAGAGTTCAGGCCACCTGCGCCCAAACTCCAGCTTGGCCAGCTGCTGGCCACAAGACTGTGGGTAGGCTGCCTCACCTGTACCCACACGGGCCACAGGGACAAAGTACGTAGGCTGTGCATGTAACATGTGGGCAGCAGCATCTGGTGCCAAGGACCTGGGCTTGGAGAGGCAGGATGGCCTGTTGCCATGCTTGATGCCCCTTGAACTCAGGGGAGGCATCAGGCTTGCCCAGGATCACCTGGAGGCCAACAGGGCAACCTGCAGGGGCCCACCCCATCCCCTGGCGGGCTCACCAGGGACCTGCTCCTTCACACAGATGCCCTCCATGGACTTAAAGCCCTCGGCACAGACGCAGCGGTAGCCACCTTCCGTGTTCTCACAGCGCTCGTGCTGGCCTGGACACACCACGGTCTCACACTCGTCCACATCTGTGGGGGCAGCAGGGGGCACTGGCAATGAGCCAGGGACTGCCCCTCCTCCCTGTCCCTTCTGCCTGTGTGCTGCCCCCCACCCTCCCTCCAGGGTCGCCTCCCTGTCCCCTCTGCCTGTGTGCTGCCCCCCACCCTCCCTCCAGGGTCACCTCCCTGTCCCCTCTGCCTGTGTGCCGCCCCCCACCCTCCCTCCAGGGTCGCCTCCCTGTCCCCTCTGCCTGTGTGCTGCCCCCCACCCTCCCTCCAGGGTCGCCTCCCTGTCCCCTCTGCCTGTGTGCCGCCCCCCACCCTCCCTCCAGGGTCGCCTCCCTGTCCCCTCTGCCTGTGTGCTGCCCCCCACCCTTCCACCGGGTAGCTCACCTAGACACTTGGATCCCACCTGCTGATAGCCAGGGCTGCACTTCTTGCAGCGGCCCGGCCCTGCCCCCATGCAGCCCAGACAGGCCTTGGCACAGTCTGAGAGAGAAGCAGAGAGCAGGTGAGGGGTGCTGGAGCTGGGAGAGGCTCTCGGGGGCAGGAGTGGGGGGTCCCCTCTTGGGCCAGGGAGGGAGGATGCTGACCTCGGCACTCGTAGGAGCCCTCTGTGTTCACGCAGAACTGGTCAGCCCCACAGCTGGCACGCTCGGTGCCACACTCGTCGATGTCTGAGGAGAGGGGTGAGATGGGTGGGGGGCTAGCGCCCCAAGTGCGGGTACAGCCACGTCAGCTCTGTTCCCGAGTGCTGGGACGTGGAACAGCCTCACCCCCGAAGAATGATTGGCACCTGGGTGCCTGAGTGACTGACAGCCAGCTTCCCAGTCTGACACTCGCTTCAGGACTGGGATGGGAGAAAAGCTGGCCTGTTGGCAGCCATGGTGTGATGGCAGCCCTGCCCGTGCTCAGATGTCTGCTCAGGAGGCTGGAAGGAGGGAGCCAGCCAGGTTGCCAGACCTCAACTGCAGTTTCCCCATTCCCATGGCAAACCCCTCCTCAATTTTCCAGACTTAGCAGGAATGATTCCTCTTCCAGGAAGCTTCCCTTGATTGCCCACCCCCTCCTCCACTGGGCTGGCTTTGGGACTTCTCTCAGTGTGTCCCCAGTATCTGCTTACTCTGTGGTGCGCCGAGACCACCCCGAGTGTGGGAGCTGTGTCAGTCTAACACATGTGCACATGCACCGAGGGAATGAGGAGCAATCGAGCTAGGCCCCTACCCACCCAGCCAGACCAGGCAGGCTCTGCTCACCAACACACTTGAGGTGGTGCAAGGCCCAGCCCTTCTTACACTGCAGGCAGTGGGACTCCTCTGGTCCGGAGCAGCGGGCACAGGGCCCGAAGCAAGCTGGCATAGAAGAGAGGGGTGAGGATGGGCAGGTGTTCCCGTACCCCCACCCGGGGGCCACACCTTCTGGCTACCTACCTGAACATACCAGGTGGCTGGCATTGCGCTTAGCCTCGAAGTAACCGAGACTGCATTGGCCGCAGGCTTCACCGCCGTAGCCGGCTTGACAGTCACAGATTCCAGTGCCCCCTCGTGTCCCTTCCCCTTGGCACTGCCCATAGCCGCTACAGGGCTTCTCTGCGCCTCCAGGACAAGCTGCAGGCAGACACCACAGTGGGTGAGGCCATGGCCACAGCCTCTAAGCACACGAGAGCTCTTTCCACATGACGATAGCCAGTTTGGGCAGGGAAAACAAGTTTTAATAATAATGACGAGCCATGCAGCTGTATGCTTAACTCCTCTTCTGCACAGCAACCAGGCTCCTCACGCGTGCCGGGCCATTCTGGCACTGAGCTCTCAGCTACACTTAGGAGAAGGTTCCAGAAGGGGCTGCTGAGACCATGTGCTTGGTCCCACACACACACAGACACAGCCTCAGCAGACAATGTGTCCAGCTCCCCAGCCCCGCAGCCAGGCGGGCACAGAGCCAGTTATGCCCACCCTCAGCAGTCCCTCCCATGCCCACGAAGGACTCACGGAGGCAGGAGGGCCCGAAGGTGCCCACGGGGCAGCAGAGCCGCAGTGAATCCAAACAGAGCCACTGGAAGAGGTCGGGGGCCTCCTGCTGCCTGGGATGGTGCAGGGGCAAGCAGCCTCTTAGGCCAATTCCTTAGGGCAGCCGGACCACTTCCCACCAAGCCAATCCAGGATCCCGGCTCACCTCCTACCAATCCATGACCCAGGCTATCTCAGGCAGGTGACCCACAAGGCCCCTCAACCCATGCCCTCTCCCCACTGGCTCAGGGCAGAAGCTGGGGTTGCCAGTGCATCCTCAGCAAACCCAGTTTCAAGGGGGGCAGAACAGGAACATGACCCCCTCAGGCAAGCACCCCAATCCTTCCCTCTGTTCCCAGGGAGGGCTCCCGGCCACTCACTTGTGAAACCACCAGTTCTCCACCAGCTCCTCGCTCAGCTCCAGCAGGCGGTGGCACTCGAAGTCCGACTTGCTGCACACGCTCTCCAGCACCTCCACCAGCCGGGTCTCACTGCCGGGCACCAGGATGATAGCTACACACTCCCTGCCACCCGCCACCCACCACAGACACACCCAGGTGGAAACCCAGCTGGGACCTCTGTTAGCACCCCGTCCAGTGGACATAGCCCCTGAAGCTTGTGAGGATAAGGAGATCTTTGTCTCTCTCTTGACCTCTTAAACGGAAGGAAATGCAGTACCCTGGCTGGGTTGCTGTGATGGGAAATCGCGCGCACAGAGTACTGGCACAAAGCAGGGAACCAGAAGCCTCTGACCTCGCAGGGGGGGAAGGCCTTAAATGTGGAGTTGTCACATGACTCAGCAATCCCACTTGTGTGTCTAATCCCCCACTCCCCCCAAAAAAGGAGGACAGGTATAGACAGCAATGTCACATGCCCACAGAGGCTGCACACAGCCAGCTCCATGCCCTCTGCTTCTGCACCTGCGCTATTCAACCCTCCCTGGGCTCTAAGTGCTTTTACAAAAGCAGGTGTACTGAAGGTAAACAGACTTACTCTTTTTTGTATTCTCCCTTGTGCTACAACATGCACAACACGTACACTGTAACACTGAGGTACACAGGAGGATGTGCCTGGATGGTAAGCAAATATGATGCCATCCTACAGGTGGGAGCTGAGCACTGCAGCCTTCAGACCCTGTGGGGAACCCTGGCACCCACCTCCCGCAGCTACAGAGTGAAGATGTACACGGCACTGCAGCACTCGGCTGCAGACAAGAATGAGGCTCTGGCACAGTCAGCGGCACAGAGAACCCTAAATTCAGGATGCTGAGTGGCTTTAGTGCCCGCACTGATGGAACTGGCAAGTCTACAGGGGCATCTGCTTGAGTAAAGCAGATCAAGTGGTGTGGGGCTGGGGCGTGAGTGTTTACAGGAAATGAGATTTCTTCTTGGCGTGCTGAGAACGTTCTAGAATAAAAAAAAAGGCTGATGGCTGCATACAACAGGAGGGATGCACTATACCCTAAACATTTTTTTCTGTATTTGGACAATGAACAAATGATGTAGTATATCATGTATTTAAAAGAGCTTAGCCAAAGATGGACTTACAATGAAACTGTTTACTATATCTTGACAATAGGATTCTGGACTCTCTGCCATTGTCCATGCCTGCAATGATGGACATATGACTGAGTATCAAGAACTATATGTTAGTAATGATATAGAGGAACTAGGTGGGGGGGGAGAGAGGGAATTGGGGAGGGAATAAAGGAATATGGAACTGTATCATAAAATAATAATAATAATAAAATGTAAAAAAAAACCCTGCAAATATAGACAAAATGTATTGCCTATATATAAATAACCAATAAGAATCATACTGGTCATACTCTACAAAAAAAAAAGAGAGAGCTTAGCAGTGTAACTTACACATAGGGGAAGGTAATTAAAAAAACAACTCAGGGCCCAGAGGCGTGGCCTAGCGGCTGAAGTCCTCGCCTTGAACGCACTGGGATCCCATATGGGTGCCGGTTCTAATCCCAGCAGCTCCACTTCCCATTCAGCTCCCTGCTTGTGGCCTGGGAAAGCAGTCGAGGACGGCCCAAAGCTTTGGGACCCTGCACCCGTGTGGGAGACCTGGAAGAGGTTCCTGGTTCCTGGCTTCAGATCAGAACAATACCAGCCATTGCACTCACTTGGGGAGTGAATTATGAGATGGAAGATCTTCCTCTCTGTCTCTCCTCCTCTCTGTATATCTGACTTTGTAATAAAAATAAATCTTAAAAAAAACACACACACACACAAAAAAAAAACTCAGGGGTAGGTGCTGTGCCAATGCAAGTAAAGCCTTTGCCTGCAGTACCAGCATCTCATATGGACATCACTTCTAGTCCCAGCTGCTCTGCTTTGAATCCTGCTTCCTGCTAACGGCTTGGGAAAGCAGTGGAAGATGTCACAAATGCTTGGGCAGCCATGTGGGAGGCCAGGAGGATGCTCCCGGCTCCTAGACTCGTGGCGGCTCAGCTCTGGCCACTGCAGCCATTTGGGAAGCAAAGCAGCAGGTGGAAGACCTTTCTCTCTCTCTTTCCCCCTAACACTGCCTTTCAAATAAATAAAATAAATATTGAAAAAAAAAACCCAGGAGCCAGCTGAGAGAGCCCTCAGGAGTTCTGGCCAGTCCCTGCTGAGGCCCTGAGGGGAGCACAGGAACCACAGCTTGCCAGAGTCGCACAGTTTCAGCAACAGCAAAGCAGGGATTTGCAGTCCATTTCACAGGTGAGCAAACCCGGCTGTGTGAGAGGAGGTAACTTCGCAGATGCTACAAAGGGTAAAGATGACTGCTTAGTGCACCAAAGTCCACACGTTCCCTGCTGCCCGACCGTCAGGCCCGGGGGCTGAGCACACAGGCCTGGCCTCCCTGGGCTTTCTAGAAACTCCTGTCTCCAGTTCTGAAGTCCAGGCCTAGTCCTCTTGGATATCCTGACCCAGACCCCACACCTCCCCAGCACCTTCTGCACCCCGAGTCAGGGTGGAGATGAGCCTTGCACTCAATAAGACCCCAGCTCCTTTCTGTGGCCTTCAGCCACCCTCTACTGCATGGCTGACCATTCTCAAATGCCCCACCTTCAACCCCACAGATCCCCACCCCCAACTCTCCCAGAGCTGGCTCTGTCACCTCCCCAGGGTCTGTAGCCCACCTTGCCCTCCAGTTTTCTTTACTTCCACAGTCACCGCTGTCTCCTCTAGTCCAGAGAGCCCATGAAGTCAGGCCCGCACCTGCCCCAGCACCTGCTGTCCCACAGATGTCCACCAACGGCTGCTCCAGGCTGGGTGCTTCCCCAGGGCCTCCCCCCATAAAGCAGAGGCTGGGAGAAGGGATTCGCTCCCACCCAGCCCCGGCCTCTGACCTGTCTCTGTACTTGGCTAACTTCTCCTCCTCCCAGGCCGTGTTCCCCCCTCCAAAGTTGTCCCGCGTGGTTCTCTCCAGGCCCTGGAAATGGAGAAGATCAGTAACCAGCCAGGACAGCAACTGGCACAGGCCACAAGCCAGGCCGTGATGCCACAAAGCGTCGCAACCCAGAGCGTCCATCCTCGACTACTGTTACCCCACCACCCAGGGAGGCGGTTGGCACACGCACCCACCTTGTTAAAGCTGTCCACTAGTCCCCGGCAGGTGTGGCACGGATGGGACTCCGTGGGGGGAGAAGCCTGGGCAGGGGGCGAGGGCTGAAGCTGGACTGGGCCCAGGAGGCTGAGGCTCAGGCCCCAGAGCAGGGTTGGGACCAGCCCCCTGGGCGGAGGCCGTGGGACCATCTTTTCCCAGGCTGGGGGTACCTGCGGAGAGAGGGCATGGGGAGACCTCACTGGAGCAGCCCGGCCTAAGTAAGACAGAAGAGGGGCGGCTCTGAGGTGCCAAGGGGCTGCAATGTCAAGGTTCCACAAGGCCAAGCGGGGGCTCTGCTATCCTGGAGGGCAGCGGGGACCAGGGGGATCAGCGGGCAGGAGTCAGGCCCTTGCCTTAGGGTATCAATATGCGTAATCAGAGCCCAGGTCAACAGCAACAGGGAGAAGGGGTCAGTTTCCAAATCCTGAGACCGGATGGGCGGTCTTAGGGGAGGGGCCCGGATCCGGCTGTGGAAAAGGACGGTCAATCTGGGAGCCTCGCAGGCAACAGAGGCCGCCGGGGGTCGGGGTGGGGATCCTGACCCGCCTTGGCCACCGAGGAGCAGGAAGCGAGCGCCCCGGGCCGGGCCGCCGCCGGCTCCGCCGCCCCAACGCCGCCTCCGCCGCCGCCTGCGGAGAACGTTCTCCGGACCCCAGCGCTGCAGCCCGGGGGCGGGACCTGCAGCCAGCAAATGGCGCGGGGCCATGTGCCATTGCGTCACCCCACGCTGGCCAATCGGAGGCGGCGCCGGGCTTGCACCTGTCCCGGCTTTAAAGGGCCGGGGAGTTAGGGCTGCAGGTTGGCAGCCCCGGAACTTCGACACGTGTGGGCGACGTGCCTAGAAAAGCTTAACAGCGCGGCGGCCTAGCAACTGAAGTCCTCGCCTTGAACATGCTGGGATCCTATATGGGACCGGTTCTAATCCCAGCAGCCCCCTTCCCATCCAGCTCCCTGCTTGTGGCCTGGGAAAGCAGTGGAGGATGTCCCAAGGCCTTGGGACCCTGCACCTATGTGGGAGACCCAGAAGAGGCTCATGGCTCCGGATCGGCATAGCTCTGGCCCTTGCGGCCGCTTTGGGAGTGAATTATCAGATGATGTTGCACTCTGTCTCTCCTCTCTGACTTTCCAATAAAAATAAAATAAATCTTAAAAGAAAAACGTAACAGATAGCTCTTGCCTTTATTCGAATCCTGTCCCCGGTCCCAGGTCCCAACCCGCGCCCCGGCCAGGGGGCTGGATGCAGTTGTCCAGGGCGGGCTGAAGGGTCTGGGTCACCTGTCGCACCCTGTCTGCGAGCCGCCCAGAGTGGGGCGCGCGGGGGCCTTGAAGCGCTCCCAAGAAGTCTGGCAGCTGCGAGGGCAGTGAATACACAGGGACTGTGCGAAAGAGGGCGGGCACGGCGTCCGGCTGCAGCAGGCCCTCAAAGCAGGCCCCGAGGTAGCGCCCGGGCGCCCGGCCCTGCAGGAAGTCAGGCAGCACGCAGCTGAGCGAGGCGGCGAAGGCGTCCTGCGGGCCGTGCGTGGCTGGCTGCGCGGCCCCGTCCTGCAGCCACTCGTGGCAGAGCGCCACGGCTCCCGGCGAGAAGAGCAGCACCACCACGCCGCCCTCCTGCAGCGTCCGGCGCCGCTGCGCGTGGAACCAGGCCAGCGGCCCCTGCGCGCTCAGCTCCCGACGGCTCCACAGGTCCACGGCCACACGCAGCGGCAGGGGACACAGCGCAGACGCCAGCGCGCCCACCAGGTGCTCGAAGCCCGCGTCGTCCGGCGAGTACAGGAGCAGGGCCCTGCGGCCCCCGGCTGCCGAGAGAAGAGAGGGGAGGAAGGAAGAGGTGAGCCGCCCCTGACCCCGCCGGCTAGGGCGGCTCCTGCCCCACGCTGGCTCACAACTCACCCCCGAAGCGGAAGTCCAGCTTCAGGAGCCTCAGCCACCCTGTGGGGGGAGAGGGGCAGGGGCCGCGGTGAGCGTGGCTGGATCCCCGGAGCCCTCAGCAGCGCAGTCCGGGAAACTCACCTTTCACTGGGTCCTTATGGAGGAGGAGGAGGAGGAGGAAGAGCGCCGCAGCCAGGAGCAGGCAGCCCAGCCACACCAGGGCCCAGTGCCGGTGGATGTCTGGGGGAGAAGCCAAGACAGCGTGGTTAGAGGGGAGAGCCAGAGACACAGGCTGCCGGGGGCCACAGGGGTGGGCGACCTCAGGTCAATGGCCTCTGATATGAGGACAGCAGCAGTACCTGTGCCAGTGTCTGGGAACGGAACTTAGCACAACACCCAACATCATGGGCGCTCACTGGTCAGCTGACCTTGTCCCCCAAGCTGGGCCCTTGGCTTTGCTGCCTGCCCCGGACCTCCATGACTCATGAGGATTTGTCCAAATACTATCTGACCGTGACGCTTGGGGCAGGTTCTGCTGCTTTAAACATCAAAGCCGTGGTGCAGCAGGTAAAGCCACCACTTGCAGCACCATATCCCTTGTGGGTATCGGTTAAAGTCCCAGCTGTTCCATTTCCCATCTGACTCCCTGCTAATGCACTTGGGAAAAGCAGCAGCAGATGGCCCAAGTGCCTGGGCCCTGACACACAAGGGGGACTGAGAAAATGTTGTGGCTCCTGCTTCTGGCTGTTGAGGCCATTTGGGCAGTGAGCCAGTAGATGGAAGTCCCTCTCTTTGTCTCTCCCTTTCTTTGTGCACTCTACCTTTCTTGTTTCATGGTCCTCCAGCTCAGCCACAGAGTTCCTCTGGGCCCCCGCAAGGGCAGGTCCTGTTCGTGGCAGGACAGCCCTCAACCCCTGGGAGTGTGGTCACAGCTCAGCCCTACACATTTGCACTGACTAGTTAGTGGATGTGTCTTACATAATGGGGTGGGGAAACACAACTGGGTCGTTCTGGGGTCCTGGGGTCCCTGCTGAGAGACAGTGGTAGTGTTCAGAATTCCTTCTAAACACCTGCTGCATCCGGCACTGGGCCTAGGCAAAGCCAAGAGCCCACAGTTCAGCCTGGGTCTCCCGCACCGGTGTCAGGGCACGCAAGTGCCTGAGCACCACCTGTGCCTTCCAGGGTGCATTTAACAGGCAAGCAGATCAGAAGTAGAGGAGCAGAGACTCCAGCCAGGGGTCCTCAGCAGTGCCAGAGTGCTCTGGGGGTGACGGAAGACAGGACTCTGCTTGACCCGAGGCCATGGAGGTGCACGAGTCCCACTCCTGGTCTAGGGAGGATGGGTCAGTTCTGTGACACTCACATTTGTCCATGGGGCAGGCCCAGAGTGCTCCAAGGTCATCGTCCCACAGCTGTAAGACACAAACCGACCCCAAGCACAGCCCCCAGCTGCCTGACCCCACCCATCCTCACATGTGGCCTCTTAGCCTCCACCCCGTCCTGCACCTGGGAGGAGCCCCTGGGCCGTGCTGCCTTGGCGCAGCCCAGCTGACCCCTACACTGCAGCTGCTTGCTGCAGTGGGCCCCAGCCCTAGCATCTGCGGCAGCACACCTGTTGCCTGGTCTTCAGGCAGCAGTGCCAGGAGATGTGCTGCTTTTGCCCTCACCTTCCGGAGCCCTGAACACAAAAGCAGCCCAGGTGGGGAGTGTGTGAGTGAATGCTGGTCATACAGCCACTGCCGTGTGCTCACCTGCAGGCACTGGCCCGACTCTACATCTTCAAGCAAGTGTTCTCCCACCCGGGCTGCCCTCTGTCAAGAAGGAAAGGAGGCAGCTGTTACCTGGGGGCAGACCCCAGGAACACCAACAGGCTGGGGTGGGGGCAGTGGGGAAGACCAAGAGCCTGGAGAACCCACCTTGGACAGGACGCAGGGCTGAGCTCCACCCCCACCCTGGGCCACCCCTCCCCAGAGACTCATTGTAAAGCTGGAGATTGGAGGGCTCTGGATGCGAGTCTGACCAGGAGAGCTGGGTAGAGAAAGGCCACCAGCCTCACCGTGGCCGCCCTGCTGGGCAGCGGAGTACAGCCTGCAGGCTCCAAGGCACACAGCGACCTGTTGTGGGGGTCTCGGGTCTCTACCAGCAGCACATCGTCCTTGAGGGGCCCCAGGGAGTCTGCAAGAGGGGAGGAGCTGTACTGAGAGCAATACCCCCTCCCACACCAATCTCTCAGGGGGTCACCCCTCCCCAAGGCCCCACTCACCAGCCCACAGGCACTCCTGCAGCTGCAGCTTCTCCCCACTCCTCACCTGCTCGGACAGGGCCAGAAAAGCAGGTCAGCATCCAGGCGGAATGTGCCTGGCAGTGGACCTGACCTTGGGCAGGTGAGTGGTGGGTGAGCAGCTGAGGCCATGGGCTTCAAGCCACTGCCCTGCTCGGCCTCTGCTGGATAAGGTCAAGGACCTAGCTCCCGTGACCCGACTTGTCCAGCCACCTGTGCTCGCCCTAGTCACTGGGTCTCCTTAGGTGGGTGCAGGGGACCCCGCTCTGGGGCACCTCCTTCTGACCTGCACGCAGAGGTTGGGGTGTCCTTTCAGCAATGGGAACTTCTGGGCCTCCTGTGAAAAGGTAAAGGGGGCTGTCACAAAAAGGGACCCCAGAACCACCCACTCTGCCCCACCCTGCCCGGGTGGCAGCTGCTCACATTCACAGTGATGTTCTCCCAGGACAGCGGTGGCACCAGTGGCAGGCAGAGCCCCCCACCTGGCGCCTGCCAGCACAGCGTGGCCTGGGCAGCCAGCGAGCAGGGTGCGTCCAGACGCCAGCCATCTGGGGGCAGCAGTCGTGGCTGGGCGGCTCGCCAGAGGTTCCAGAGGGCTCGAGGGTCTGCGGGGATCCAGGGTGGTGATCAAGGAGAGGAGGGTGCTCCCAGCCACACTGCCCCCAGGCTCCCCCAGGGTGGTCGCTCACTCACCCTCCCGGAAGGGACAGGTGCTTGTCCTGACCGAGTCGGGCTCCAGGGGCCACACCTGTTGGGGAGACAGTGCCGGTGGGGCGGTGCAGTGCAACTGAGCCCCCATGGGCCTAAGCCAGCTAAGCGATGCTCACAGTGCTGCAAGAGCATCACCCGCTGTGCCTGTGCAGCTGGGAGCAGGTGGCGGTACCTGCTGACCACCTACTGTGTCTAGGTGCTGTGTGCAGTGCTAGACAGACTCGGGTATTAACTGCACCTGTACTGAGCACTCAGGATGCTAGAGCGTGCTGCTTCAGCACACTGCTGAAAAAATGCAGAGCTGTAGTCGTCGGCATCCCACGTGGACACCACGTTGAATCCTGGCTACTCCACTCACCGCTAATACACCTGGGAAAGCAGTGGACGGCCCGAGTGCTCCAGCCTCTGCACCCACAGGGCAGACCTGAAGAAGCTCCTGGTTCCTGGCTTAAGGTTGGCTCAGCCCTGGCTGTTATGACCACTCTCTCCTCTTTGTAAATCTGCCTTTCAAATAAAAATAAATCTTTTTAAAATCCCATTTTCCATAAGCTTTCTGAAGCACCTTGTGTACCCGTACTCATCTCTTTGTCAACCTTTTGAGAGGCTGGCATTTAATCCAGCGGCTGAGATACATACCCTTTGGGACGTTCACTCACCATGTCCCTTA